GCCACTGAAAAAAGACTAACACATGAATAAACCTACTAATCCTACAGAAAAAACTTAGAACTAAACTACTCCAGCTCCACTTAATCACCACGAAACATCCTCAAGACCAAAGCCTTAACCCTCCTCAACCCCTGATAGACACGCACCAACCTCAAAAAATTCTGGATAAGCAAAACTTGAGAACACAATAACATTTGCAAATCCAACCATAGATACTACTCGACTACTCTTCTATAGAAAACACACACACAGAACCTCACCATAGTGACCCTCAATCTGCCAAGAACCTTACCCAAGAAAGGAGAATAAAAGAGTAGCCACAAACACCAAAGCAGAAACCAAAGGAGGACCTAAACACTCTCACTCATACAAAATATTCTAAACAAACAATAGACTGTAACACTATGGCATTAACACAACCAGCTTGCATACAGATATAACCATCACGACTGACTCCTGAAAACAGAAAAGAAGCCCAATCAGAAATTCAAGAAGCAAGCCTGATCTCAAGCACGAAACATCAAACAATAAAAATCAAGAGAAGATACAACTGGAAGAGAAAGGAACAACCTCACGAAACTAGAAGAGAACACCCAACCAAACGAGTAGTAAATTTGGGGACGAAAGCCAATGAAACCTAATCCCAAAAACACCAGAGCAGAGCCGATTAATCACTTGATCAAAGAACAAAAGAGGAATCGTTATCACTGAGTTAGGCTTATGAAATCAAGAGAGGAGCGGTCAAAGGAGAGTGTGAAAACAGCAAAGACGAAGGTGGTGGAGGCGGCCACCGCCTCACTTAGAAACCCTTGAGAGAGAACTTTTCTCCGTAGACAAAAAAAACCTTGAGTATCTTGATCATTAAACCTGTTCTTAACTTTGCCTACCAAACTACTTTCCCTCCATGATAGCTCTTTCTTAGAAATTAGAACACTCTTGCTGCCCGCCACAGGGTTTGATGAAGAGCTTGCTTCGCTGTCTTCAGCAACCGATACATGAACAACTGCAACAGAACCACTATGATTTCCAACCTGCTGGCCAACAGTCTTTAAAACTGGTTTCCCACCTTCTACCAGTGCACCTCCCTCAACCTCTTTAAACGACCTAGCGTCCCTTAAAATTGGCTGCCAATTCTTTTTAAGACTTCTTACCACATCTACCTTCTTGCTAAGACTTCCAGAATTTATGGCATGGAAAACTCTGATCTTATAACCATCCATCACCCTACCATCAACTCTCCTAACCGCCAAGTTTACTTCAAATCTGTTTCTGAACCTTACGAAAGCAAAAGTATAACCCACAGATTTTCTTTTCATTCTATTATACACAATGAACACATCCAGAACATCACCATAGACCTGAAACGCTTCCTTAAGAGAGGAAATGAGAGTCCTCTTGTTAACATAATTAACAAAAACCGTGAAGCCCGAGTCTCTCATGGTTTGGATGCTCATCTCACACGACTGATTCCAACTACGAATTTTTATGAGCACTTACAGAAATTATAAAAGTATGAATAGAAGCATTACTGGATAACCCATTCAATATATAAAACCAACAGCAAAACCAAACCTTATTCTTCTACATCAATACCAATAGCCCTAATTTCATGCTCAAATCCAGTAAACCTATTCAAATCGAACAACCCACTCTCTCAATTCAAGCTAAATCCCATGGTCTAACCACAAATATTACTCAATTTCAGAGAAATGGAATAATTTCAGCAGGCAAAAAATACATGACAGGCGATGGATAGGTTATGACGACGACAAACAACAAAGAACAAATTGTTGCAATCTTTACTTCTCTGGTCCCAACTCTCAATCCCTAAAAAAATAATTTAGGGTTTAAAGATTTGTTTCAGACCTTTCGAAACAAACCCACTCACTCAAGATAAGATAAGAGGCGATGGAGAGGAGGCGACGGCGACGAACGGCGACAAACAGGGGAGGGCGGGGATCACGAACATTTCTCAACAACAGTTTAATCCCATCGTATAAATTAATACTTCTTTTCGTCTTAAACTTCAACATCCTTGATGTTTTCATCCGTCCACCACCATGCCATTCATACCACGTTCGATCTCCAATGGAAATTTTGTATCTTTCCAGCTTTCCAAAAAACATGTCATCTTTTGGCATAGCTTGCACATCACGGAGGCCTACTTCCAAAGTGGTTAGATGAGACAGGCACTGCAACTCAACAAGACTGGCATTGCTTCTTGGATTCTCAATTCCTTCAACCTCCCATCCATCAAAGCTACCATAGAGGTATAGTTCTTCTAAGCTGGACAAACTTGACAAGACATCTGGTGCTATTACTTCAAGATTAGTACAATCAGTCAAATCTAACAATTTTAGCCTGTTTAATTGTCCTATTTCCTTTGGTAGCATTGTAACTCTAGATCGACGGAGGTCAAGTACTTTTAAATTTTTTAACTCCCCTAAGAAGTTATATCTTCTAAATCACAATCTATCAAACGAAATGTACAAAGAGATTTTAAGTAACAATGGAGGAGGGAATGGATGAAAAATGCATCTCGGCAAAATCCAAAACTTTTAGTATTTGCGTTCCCTTAAAAAAGTTAGACCTGACTCGTTTACCGCTTAGTCCTAATTTGAATATTCAAAGTTGCCCTCTGGTTGATAGTCCTTATCTTCCACGTGATTTGTTCCCATTTTTCTTACTCAAATTATTGTGGTTTTGGACCTTTTGGTATTTGACGCTAAATAAGTTTGGACTTACCACTAGTACCGTTACAATTATTGATAGTCCTTATCTAGGGTATGTATAAGGAAAGACAACTTAATATAAGATTATTGAAAATAGTAATCGAAAATATTAATTTTGTTTTAACATTTATGGTAAAATGTTATTTAGAATGTTAATTTTTTTAACGTTTCTGGTTGCAATAAGAAATATTATAGAGAAAATAACAACTGGAAATGTTGAAATATTAACATATTAAATAACAAAATTAATATTTTAAGTAATGCTCTATCAGAAATATTAAAAAAATATTAATATTTTCGATTGTATTTTTCCTTAACCTTAACCACATCTTTATCTGCCACGTGATTTGTTCCATTTTTCTCACCCCCACTCAAATTAGTCTTCAACGATAAATAAGTTTGGACGTACCAATACTACCCTAACAATTCAATCAATCTAAGAGTTATATGAGTATCATTTATTATAGATTTATGGGTAAATTGTGTATTTAGTCATTCAATTATTTGTATGATGTCATTTTGGTTATATAATTATTTTTTTAAATCATATCTAATGTTACGTTTTAGTTTCATTTTGATAATTTACCATTAAAAAATTAAAAATGATATTGATGCGTCACTATAAGGTAATGTCACATCATCATTGAAAAAGTAAGATGCAACAACAGGTGACTAAAATGAAATCAAAACATAACAGTAAGTATGATTTTAAAATATAAAATAATCGAGTGACCAAAATCAAACTATATGAATATTTGGATGACTAGATATAAAGTTTACCCCAAAATCTATAAAAGAAAAAAAAGCAATTAAAATATGTGGGTATGATAAATAAGTTTGCACCTACCACTAGTACCCTAACAATTCAATCAATCAAGAGTTATATCAATATCCTTTTAATATAGTTTATGAGTACACTATGTATTTAATCACTCAATTATTTATATAGTTTCACTGTCCATCTAATTGTACTTTTAAAATTATATCTAATGTTACATTTTAGTTTTAGTTTAGTAATTTATCATTAAAATATAACAGTGGGTGACCAAAATGAAACCAAAACATAACATTAAATAAGATTTTAAAAAGAAAATAATCAGGTGACCAAAATGAAATTATGCGAATAATTAGATGACTACATACATAGTTTATCCTAGAAATCTATAAAAAAAAGCAACTAAAAATACGTGGGTATGATTAATAAGTTTGGACCTATTACTAGAAGAGGTTAGTATTTGATTGAGTCGAGTCGTGTCAAGTCAAAAAAATTTAAGTTATTTGAGTTGAAGAGTTGTATTTTACAACTCGAACTTAACTTGAAATTTTTTTTAGTCGAGTTTAAGAACTTAGAGTCGAGCTATTAAAGTTTCTATACTAATTTTATTATAATTATTTATAGTATTATGAGAAGAATTTGTTTCAATTTTTTGATTTTCTCTAACTATATATATATATATATATATATATATATATATATATATTATTTTTAAGCTATAATATTATTTAATATATCAAATACAATATAAAATTATGAAATATAATTATAATATTATATTTTAAAGAAAGTATTTTGAGGGTAAAATATTGATGAGAGTGTAAAGGAGTCAATGAATTAATGGGAAGAAAGAATTTGCAAACAATTATAGTCAAAAGACCAAATTGAGTAAAATGAAAATTTAAGGGACTAAATAAGAATATAAGAAGGAATAAGGAGGTAAGTGCCATATCATATAAAACCAACGGGAGGTAATGTCGGGGTTCTTACTGAAAATGAACTAAAAGTTTAGTGATTGTATTCCAAATTGTAAAAGTTGAGTGCGAAAAATGCAAACAGCCTAAAAGTTTGATGACTGTTTATATGCTTTACCCTAAAATGCTTAAAAGCAAAGGGACATGAAGCCCATTATCCCATAACCTCAACGATTCTCCCAGTTTCATTAACTCAATCCACTAGACATACGAGCAGTCTTCGAATTCCAAATTCAATTTAAACGATCTTGATAAAAATTGTATATTACAATCATCGATACGAACATAAAAATGAATATAACAATCATAATTCATTGATAAAATGACATTATCATAACTCATTCGTAACCTATCTTCCGTCTTCGGTGTTCAAAACTGAGAACAAGTTAAAAATCACTCTTAATGGTTTCAATTCACCATAAACTACAACACGTTAGAAAAATGAGAACAGCCCGTTTCAGTTGAAAAATCATTTATAAAGGTTGAATGGTATTTTGGTGAGCATTAGGAGGAGCAAACATGAATCAATGGGCGAACAGGTTGGTTTGGTCGCTGTCTGTAATGCTGGTTTTGGCTGCGGGCACAGAGGCTTTCTGGAATGGTAACGTGCAAGTAAGAATCTATAACAGTTTGGAATACACGAAAGATTTGACCATCCATTGTAAATCCAAGGACGACGACCTCGGCGCCCGCGTTCTATCTTCCGGCGAACACTTCGAGTTCCAATTTGCACCACACATGTTCAAGAAGACCTTGTTTTTCTGCAGCATGGCATGGGATGGACAATCGCATTGGTTCGACATTTACGAGGAAGACAGGGATGGGGATTGTAATAGCAGTCGTTGCACGTGGGATGTAAAGCAAAACGGCCCTTGTACGGTAGCTACGGGTACCCTTTTGTTTGTTTGTCACCCTTGGAACAAATAGGGGTTTCTTAATCACCCTCAAAATCCACAATAAACGCTTGTGCTAAACAGGCATGTGAAAACTGAACTGCTGGTTTGCACGTCTACTGAATTTTGCCTTTAATTAATCAATTAATGTATTACGACCTAAACTCATAAATTAAACTTTTTTTTTCCTCGGTAGTGTCTTCCTTTTATTGAAGTAGAAAATGATCTCAACAAAGATCTCAGTGTTAAATAAGAATATTATTTATTTTAAAAATCCTAAGTTTGAGTAATTATGTTTGTAGGGTATGTATACCTTATCAATTGAGTAAGAAAATTCTAAACAAATTACTACCTTATAATCACCCTAAACTATTAAAAAAATTGTTGACAAACATGTCGGTGTTAGACTCTCACGTAGATGTGAGCAAAACTCGACTCGACTTAAAAAAAATTCAAATTCGAGTCAAGCTATAAAATACAACTTAAATAACTCAAAATTTTTAATAATTAATGAATTGATTTTCAAGTTTTAGTCAAGTCTCTTGACTTTATATGATATATATACATATCACATATGAAAAAGTATGAAGAAATATATATGCACTGTATATGATTATAGAAAACCATTTAAATTCAAATCAAACGTATTGGAAATACATCCTCACATACTTTATGAGAATATTTCCATCATTTTTTTAAATTTATTCGTCATCGGTAGTGTCGGAACCGTTTTTCGGTTGGACCCGAAATTGGACTTCTACTTGGATTAAACGAATTGGAGTCGCCACCGATCACTTTAAAAATATTTAGGTGGATCGAACACCATCTTACCTGATCTGCGTTTTACCAGAAACGTGTCGGGTTCGGAAGTCGGTTACAGTCAAGGAAGGATTAGCACCCTTGTACTGCCCTCTCGCTACCAATTAATTTATCGGTTGTCTTAATTGCGAAAATTAAAAAATTTAAATAAAAATTTTAAAAACTCAATTCAAAATAATTACCTTTGATCGTTTAAAATTATAAAAAATAAAAATAAAAAAGGTTAGATCGTGAAATATGGAGAAGTGTGGCTTGTCTCATAAAGCAATATCAAAATAAGAAATTCAAATACCCATGTATTACACTTTAAAATGAAAAAGACAAAAGTAGATCAAATATAAAAGTATAGGAGTGATAAGTTACTGTCTTTAAAGAGCTATAAGAAAAGTCCACAATCCACAGTAATGGAAATTGAAATTCATTCTCAATCTAAGTTGGAGAAGAGAACACCAATTATTGTGCAAACCACCCAAATATCCGTGATGAGGAAGGAAACAACAGCAAGAGACAAGTACGATCTATATAAACCCAATAAATCATAGAACCAATATGCCCATAAAATCTATAATCGTTAGTCCCATTAATCTATAGTAACTGTACACATGCATGCCCTGAATAATAGCAACAACATAACACATAACCACGAGCAACAAAGGTCTAGAAACTTAAGCTGTAACGGTATGCGAATGAGTTGGGAAAAGTTTAGTTATGCAAGCAGTATTAAATTCATACTCTGAAAGACCAATGGCTGCTCTCAATGCTTTTTCACCTTGTTCAGCTCTATAACCACTGTAACCCTCCAGCATAGACAGTGCATGAGATCTCTTAGCCATTGCAGAAGTAATAACATCTGGAATAGGTTCAGTAGTTTCACCAATTTCAAGGCTAATCACTTGTGCGTTCGGGTACTTTAGCAAGTGTGCAACCCTTCTTCTAGCAACTTCTGGAAACAGGTAACCAGCTTGAAGCTTGGCTATGTTCGTATTGAGAGAAACCTTTGTCTTGTAAGCAGTCTGTTCTTGAGGAGTGGCTATACATTTAACTATACGGAGGCTTTTCAGTGGAACCGAAACATTATGGGTTCTTGAATTGAAACTGGTTGGAGCCAAGAAAACAGAGAAAGATGAAGAAATCATTGAAGTTGATAGATTGTTCATCCGAGACTTCTTTCAGATTTCCCACCCCCCTTTTTCCTTCGTGCATGTCTCCTTTTAAATTAAAAAAAATGCTAAAATTCCTTTGAAAGTGGAGAGCATTGAGCTTGAGGGAGGAGTGGTCCACAACTCCCATGAAAAACAAAACCCACGTGATTTGTGGTGAAAGTGGTGGAGATAAAGGCGGGGTAGTGTATGGAGCCTACAAAAAATAATAATAAAATAAAAATATTAATAATAATAATAAATAAATAAATGTTTTAAAACCATATAATATATAATTTCAAAAAAATATTTTTAAAAACTATATATTATACGTATTTTAAAAATATTTTTTTTAAAAACTATATAATATATATATAGATATATAGATATATATGTATAAAATAAAAATAAAAAATATGGATGAAAATGAGTATCTACATGTAGCAAAACACCTTTACTAAAATTCTGCACATTCATAATATCACTTCCAATGGAAAAAAATTCGCCCCACAAACTAGCAATTTTCTTGTGAGGTATCCAAAAATCATTCATGTAACGATCACCCGCAACAGCCTCCCATTTTGATCTGTACTTCGAAGAGGTTTGTTTCGTCCAACTCGGTTCGAAACGAAACATTGATTTAATCATGGATTCATAAAGAGTATAAATATATAATATTACATATATTCTAAAATTCGGTATCTATATTAAAGTTAGAGTATCACAAATCACTCTCCTAATATCCTACAAAACTCATCTTGGTAATGTAAATCTCGATATCGCTATCAAAATTCACAAGAATAAATTTCTTTAGAATTTCACAACTCGAATCATAGTTTTGATATCTCTTGTTAGGAATTTATAAAAGAAAAAATAACAAAGTAAGATCAATATAGAAGATGATATGTACAAGAGATAAGTGTTTGCCTACCTACACAGGCAACAAGAATAGTAGACTATAAATATAGAGATCACGAAAATTAAAAATACATAATATCTCAACTATTTTAAAGTATGTATCTATACTAAAACTTGGAATATCTCAAATCACTGCCTCAAAATTCCCACGAAATTCATCTCTATAACGCAAATATCAAAAGTTGCAAAGATTACAACAACAAAAAATTACATCTCTCCAAATAATTCTCTCAAAGTTTTAAAATATATTTTATGTTTATAAAATCAAATACTTATCACTAAGAATCCTTATTCTATAAAAATATTTTACTAAATATACTTAATCACTAAGTACTCTTCAAAAATTTAAATTACTTTTTACTTAAAATTTGAGTTAATATTGAATAGAAACGATTGTCACCTAATTTCTTGATATCAACATCAAAGATCCTTTCACTTCCGCCATGAATATGTAGTTAAGAATGTCTTTTTAGCCTCAATTTCGAAATCAGGTAGGTGTATTCTTGATATCAACATCATTTAATTGTTCTATTATCAATCGGGTCTATTCATCCAACTGACGCCAACATTACAGGTTCGTATATAAACCACCATACATGTTTAAAAAGACTAGGTTTGTATATAAACCACCATGCATCTGTAATTTCACTATGAAATCACCTCATCCTAATTCATATCTTTTCTATTTTTGTATAGAGATAGAATATTTTGAAACCGGCCAACGATCGTCTAATCACCCATTGCGATTCACCATTCAAACTAAAAGGGGTGAACCACTTATATCCATCGTGACTCTTTTATTCAACATTAAAGAATTATCGAACAAATTAATGCTATATTACAATAAATTATTTATCCTAATTCCACCTAATTAATTATCTTTGTATTTAATTACAATGAATCAAATGTAACCTAAACTCGAACTCAACATACCATATAAAAATTTAATTGCGTAATTTAAAAAAATATTAATGACTCCATTTTACCATAAATTGCAAGGCGTTGAAAGAATGAGAGCAGCACGTTTCAGTCCAGAAGAATCACTTATAAGGCTGTATGGTGTTTTGGTGAGCACGAGGAGAAGCAAACATGAATCTATGGGCGATCAGGTGGGTGTGGTTGTTGTCGGTAACGCTGGTTTTGAATGCACGTAGAAATGTTTCCTTGGATCCTTACAAGCGAGTAATAATCTATAACTATTTGGAAGACAAGAAGGATCTGACCATCCATTGCAAATCCAAGGACGACGACCTCGGCGTCCATGTTCTTTCTTACAAGGAATCCTATGATTTCCAATTCAAACCCCACTGGTTCTTTCGGACCTTGTTTTTCTGCCGCATGACATGGAATGGAAAATCGCATTGGTTCGACGTTTACAGGGGAGATAGGGATGCTCATAAAGGTTTTGGTTGCTATGAATTTCATGATTGCGTGTGGAAGGTAAGACAAAACGGTCCTTGTACACTTTTTAATATTTGTTATCGGTGGAACACATAGGGGTTGCTTAATCACTCTCAAAGTCTACAATAAACTCTTGTATTAACCGGTGTCGACAACTGAAAACTCGATTGCTGGCATTTGCATGTGTACTTTGTTTTACTTTAATTAATGTTGTTGGTAATATAAATTGTAAAATCGAGGTGCTGTCATTGACCGGAAATATAAACAAATAAATAAATCGTAATAAAACTGTATCGTGATAATCCATTGTTTTAAAAGTAAATTTATCTCGATGTGTTTAATCATTAAAATATATGAATGTGTCCTGAGATTAGTACGATCTCTCAAATAAATCGTACATGAAGAGGACAAAAGTGGTACAGCTCTTCTCGACACAAGTCACTTCAAAAATTAATAAAAGGAACAGAAAATTTTTAGAAATGAGAAGGATAGGCAGACAGAATTTTAATTTTCGGATGCCATGAAAATTATCGAAAGAAATGGAGTTAAAAAAACACTTCAAGAATCACTTGATTTTGCAAATCATTTAATCAAAACACATGTGATCATCAAGATCGCTTTTAATTGGATCACTTCCAGGCACCTCCAAGTAAGCAATTTCTTATACATTTGATCTGACAGAATGCATGAATCGAACACACACAACTGAAAACTCAAACCTGAATTAACCCAATTACCCAACACACAAAAGAGACTC